GAGCTGCGCCCCCGGGGCCCGCCAGCCCCGGCCCCCTCCCCAAAGCAGACGCTCCCGGCGCCCCGCTGCAGAGGGGCCATCTGGGCAAGGTCCCAAATCTCCACCTTCTACTTTCATCAGAGCACGCGATAAACTAACGCACGTACCATCTGCTTGGCCTCTCCTAGCACCCGAAGCTACTCCCTTCGGCCACAAAACGCATCTGCGTCCTGCTTCACCGCGGTTGAGGGCTTCTTCAGAAGCGGACCGGGACCTTTGCAACGGAGAGCTCAAAGGGGAAAGCGGAGATACGGCTGTGGATTTTGCTACCCAATAAAAAAATTGCCCGTCCTTTGCTACGGTCTGCCTCTTCCTTGGAAATGATCCACGGCCACCGCCTCGACCGCTCTCGCATCCAATCCCAGCACTTCCTTCTCCGCTCGCGCTCCACCACGGCCCACGCTGTGCACTTCCTGACGCTTCCCCAGGTACCAGCTCGGCTAGCGCAGGCGGCACGGCCGAGACCAGCCCCTGATGCTTTCAACACCTCGCTGTCAAGACCTGACTTCCCGAATCGCACCTCCAAACCAGACACGAATGCAACAGGGTAACGTCTCTGGATCTGCTAAATACAGACTTCCAGATTGTCTCTCAGTTAGCTTTTTCCAGCAGATTTCAGGAGATTGCTCTATCAGAGGAAACAGTCCCATGGTCTAAATTGACATAAACGATGGCTGTTTATGGCTATAAACGATGGCTACGTAATCAAATGACCTGGCAGATTTTCTGCAAGAAAGCGAACTGCCGTTATTTTTGCACTTCAGTCCAAAGCATCAGATATACTTCCACCTGCCAGACTCTATTCCTGACTCTTTCTTACCTGTGAAACGGCAGCTAGCTTTTCCCCTGGGAAAACGCTTCCCCTTATTCGCATCTGATCGCTGCCCTGCAGGGGAGGGGAAGGAACTAGCAATTTTTAAGGCGACGAAACAAGCTCCTAACTAAGGGATGCTCCCGCAGAAGATTGGCTTCAGGCCGCTTTGGTGCTTAAAGCAGGAACGAAGAGCGGAGAGAGAGGTGGCGACAGGTAGGGTCCCCTTAGCCTGACCGGAGGGTTAGGGTCCGCGCCGCCTTAGCTAACGGAGAGCAGGCCCGGCGCGTCGGACGGGACCGGGAAAAAAAAAACAGCCACCGGTCAGCACCCGCCCAGGACGCAGTCGCTCCCCGGGGCCTCCGAGGTCTCCAGCTCGACGCTGGAGAGGAACCGCCGCAGGGACTTCCGGCAGTTGTAATCCAGAGTGGTGGTGTACACAGTCTTGGCGTGCTTCGGGTAGACGATGGTGGTGCTGGTGAAGCGCGAGGGCCTGCGGCGGGGCTCGAAGCGCACCTCCGCTTTGTAATTGCGCCACGTGCAGTTCGGGACGCAGACGACCGTTTGGCTGCAGGAGGAAACGCTTAAGGCCACGGGCATGTAGACGTCATCGATGAAGTGCTTCTCCGAGTCGTATTTAACCGAGGACGTGTACCTGAAAGGCGAGAGAGAGACGGGTTTGAATGCCACCGTGGGACAGCAGGCAGCGTTTTTCGGGAAACGGAGCTGGCGGGTATCTAGGTTGTACCCTCAGCTCCGGACCTGGCCGCTTAACCGCAAAAAAAGCCCCATAACGCAAAACCCGTCTGCCAGCACGACATCTGCGCGCGCCCGGCAGGAGAGCTGCGTGTGCAGCTCGCCCGGCCCTGCCGCCGCGCCGTCCCGCCGCCAGCCGCCTGTAACGTCTGCCCGTCGAGACGTCCGCAGGAGCAACTCCCGGGCTAGGAAGAGATGCGGCGCGTTAAAAAAAAATCATTTATGGACATCTCTTGATATTAACTCTTCTTTCAGTTCATGCAACTGGCCACAGCTGGTGAGACAGAAACTTCTTATTAGAGAGCCACGGGCAGAGCAAGATTCCTTTCCCCTAACAAAACAGCCTCTGAGAAAGACGGCTGCTTTGAAGATCTTCCCCCACCATCACGTTTGATCAGCAGAAAGGCAACGTCTCGGGGCTGTGCAACGAAATAAAAAGCAGAAGAGTTAAGATCCAGGAAGTCTTCCTGGAAACAGCTTTACGTGGGGGAGCCCGAACACTCCTCCAGCCCGTGCAAACGTCCCGGTCCGGGAACGCGCAGCTGCCGGCAACAACAGCTCTGCAGATACAGCAGCTGGACTCACGAGCCCCGATAAGGCCTAACGCTGCTCGACGCGCTAACGCCGTCCAAGCCAGACGGCCGTACCGCGCACGGCGTTTACCTTATTTCCTTTGGTGGCAAGGGGTCAAACTCAACGCCTTCGCCAAAGGACAGGGGACACAACCTCGGAGGGCAGCTGGAGAGCAGAGGGCTGGCAGAGAACGCGGAACTCTGTAAAAAGGCAGAAAACAACCCGTTTTACGTCGCGGTTGCCCTCTCGAGAACCGTCGCGGCTGCGTTCTCAGGAAAGGGCGGGTTTTTTTTT